GCGGCATCAAAAGTGAAGAGTCCGCGCAACTTAGCTTTTCATTATCTTTCACTCTCTTTGTAATTTGCCCGTAATTATGTTAATAAGTGACTGATTATATAACGATTAGTGCATAGTTGGAGTTCCAAACAGTGGATGCACATGCATTTTTTACTTAAATTTTTTATTTGCCTCTATGAATTAGGTGTTCCTTGTTGGACATGATTGGGGTGCTGTTATAGCTTGGCATGTATGCCTTTTGCGACCTGATAGGATCAAAGCACTGGTTAATATGAGCGTTGTCTTCCACCCCAGGAACCCCAAGAGAAAGCCTATTGAATCTATGCGTGCTGTCCTCGGGGATGATTACTATATTTGCAGATTTCAGGTTTCTTCCAGCATCCTTCTCTCCTTTGTTTTTCTTCTATCAACTGTTGCATTATTTTCCTTTAACTCCATTAATTTCAGCTTGGATAAAGGAGGGGATGTTAAGTTGAATGGAGACTAGAAATAGTCTAATAGAGGAAACTATATGTAGCTGATTCACGTAGGGGACCTCAATTAAAAATTGTCTGAAATAGTTTAAGCTAGCATTTGACCCATAGATTTTGAGAGAAGTTTTTAAAAAATTATCTTTAAATATCTTACCATGAAATTTATCAGATTTTGAAAATCTGATCTTCAAATATTTTCAAGTTTCTTTGGGTTTTTGGGACTTCCACTTACAAAACTTTAAAAATAAATCAAGTAATATGCATGTCCAAATATAACTTCAATTTTCAAAAATCACAACTTCGAAAACACAATTTTTCAAGTTTCAACTTCAAAATCCATGGCCAAAACGGGAGCTAAGGATTCATATAGCTGCCTGCAACTAATTACGGATTGAAGAGATTTTTTTATGATCTTCCTTACTGCATGCACTTACGGATAAAGTCAAGATTTTGGTGATATCATTGCTTCCAATTATTTTGTGTCAAGTAACTTTTGTGGAAATTCAGTGTTCGAGTTGTATTGAGTGATCATATAGGTTATGCTATTCTGGGACTTCAAATATGTGATATCTGGCATAAGGTTTCTGAATTTGCTGTCTGCTTTCTGTTTCAATATACTCTCATTCTTTTGCCTTTTTGTAAGCTATGTTATTACTCCTTCTGTTTCAATTTGTTTGTATAGTTTTGACTTGACATGAATTTTAAGAAAGTAAGAAAGACTTTTAAATTTTTGTCTTAAACTAAATTAGAATGTACCAAAATGCTCTTTAATCTTGTGGTGTTAAACATGCCATTTGGAAAATTGGAACTAAAGAGTTGCCAAGAAGGAAGGAAGCATTGTTTTTTAAACAAACTAAAAAGGAAAGTAAGAGTCCATGCTTATGATTATTGTCCAGAAGTAGCTGTTGATGCAATTTTCCACTGCACTGTGCACAAAATTTAAGCATTGGGCTGGTCAAGACGTAAAAGACACTCATCTTACTCTGTTTCTTGAATTGTAACTTAGATCCACACCATGATAAAATACTACCCTCATGATTAGACCGTGTCCCTTAGATTTGATAAAAGTACTCATTAGTGTCCCAGTTCTCACCATTCAGCTTTGTTCTAAACATTTGTTAAATATTTTCTCAATTACAATCCTATAGTGATTTTGATTGCTTAATCCAAATAGATTATTTTCTTTTTTTGTATGCTTATATAGGAAACTGAGAAGAACAGAAACTTTTTTCACTTGTATTTGTGTAAAAAGAACATCCTATTTGCATAGGTAGTTCGCAAATTCTTTGGGAAGCTCAGTGCCAGGAACTTATACTTCTTTGGCACCATCTTGTTGTGTACAATTTTTATGACTTTGATTTATCATTTGAAGAAAAGGCTCTTATGTTAAAGTTAAATCATAAAACAAAAGAAAAACCCAGCTGTTACAAATTTGATGAATTCCAGTGGTTTTCATGTGCTGTTGAGATTTCTTCCTTATTGCTGAAGATGTTATTTAATCATCGCTGCTGAAAACACCCTTTCAAATGTGTTGTTTCTTAGGAATATGGAGAGGCAGAAGAGGAGTTTGCTAGTGTTGATACCGCAAGACTAATCGCGAAATTTTTAACATCACGCAATCCAGCTCCTCTTCGTGTGCCTAAAGAGAAAGGATTTGGGGGTTCACCTCATACTCCCATTACATTGCCATCTTGGTTGTCAGAAGAGGATGTCAACTACTATGCCAACAAGTTCAGACAGTCAGGTTTTACTGGTGGATTAAACTACTATCGAGCTATGGACCTGTGAGTTGCCTAATCATTTTCTTCACCAAATGACCTATTTGTTCAAGAACTCTTAATTTTATTTTTTGCTCAAATTTTTTATGGTATTGTTTCTAAATAAGAACTATGAATTGTTCGGGGTAAAATGTATTAAGTGAGAACTAATCTTTGTCCTCTTGGTAAATAGCTCAACATTTAACCAAGTGCAACATTTAGCCTTTTTGTAGCATGAGTGTCAGCAGACAATATTATGCTGATTTTAGAAAGTATATACATTAAATACCTAGTTTTATGGAGAGATCACGGGTTCACGTGCCCCATATTTTAGCCTTTAAATTCACCCTTGGATATCATGGATCAACCTAATAGTTTTATGTTCTGATACCTGTTTATAAGCAAATGTTACTTAACGAGGTCGATGCAACCTAATATACTCACTTCAACATGCAACATAGAGATACATGTGTATAAGAGACTTAAATTTTCAAGGCATATTACATAAATATGTCATTTAACTTGGCATCAACTCACATTTATGTCCTCCAACTTTGGGTATGCACAAGTACACTTAAACTTGTATAAAGTTGAACAAATAGACACACGCGACCTACGTGGCATGGTATCCTACGTGTATTATGCCACGTTAGGCTCGTGTGTTTACTTGTTCAACTTTATACAAGTCTAAATGTTTACTTATGCACAACCAAAGTTAGAGGGCATCAATGTGAAATGAGGCCAAGTTAAAGGGCACATCTATGTATTATACCAAAATTTCAACATATACTAATTACTAATTACTAAAGAAGCTCTAGCTTGCTGGAACAGAGATGGGAATCAGTCAGGACACAGGGAGAGATGGAAGATTGTCCCTGCCTGCATTTGGTGGTCTATATGGATGGAGAGGAACCAGAGATGTTTCAAAAACAAGAGCTGCTCTATGCATAATTTGAAGTTGAATTGCATGGCTCTTTTCTTTTTTTGGTGTAAACATGAATATCCTCAAGATGCAGAGGATATCCCTAGTATTTTAGAGTTCTTATGACCTCCATAGGAGTTCTTTTCTTTTAGCAACTTTTGGATGTAAGTATTACTAGAATACTCCTTATGTATTCTTTGTTTATAATACAAGTTACCTTTCTCAAAAAAAAAAAATCTGAACTCAAAATTTCAAAAGTAACAATACGTCCAGTGCTAAGAACTTCAAAAGTTGAATTCATCATGTTCAAATCTTGGATCTGCCTCTAGTTGCTTTGACTCTAATATTCTTAGGAGTTGTTTGATTGCAAGGATGGGATAGACAAGGATATCCCATGGGATTAGTTATCTCACCCTCTATACTTTAGCTAATCCCATAGTTTTAATGGTTCCCGGGACTAATTAATATCCATAACCAAACATGGGATAAAATAATCCCTCATTTTATCCTAGGATTGTTATCCTTTATCCCACCAACCAACAACCCCGTAAGTCTTTTATGTATACAATTATATATGATGCATGTTAGCTGTTTGTGTGGCCATTTTATTTTTGTTATATTTTTAACTGTTGCAGAAACTGGGAGCTGACCGCGCCATGGACCGGTGTACAAATAAAGGTCCCCGTTAAGTTCATCATAGGGGATGTGGACCTAACTTACAATACACCTGGTGTTAAGGAATATATCCACAAAGGTGGGTTCCAAAAAATGGTGCCATTCTTGCAAGAAGTAGTTATCATGGAAGGAGTTGCACACTTCATCAACCAAGAAAGACCAGAAGAAATTAATGACCACATATATGACTTTTTTCAAAAGTTCTAAGGTGTGTCTATATCATGGATTGCTTTGTTGCTTTATATCTTTTTTCAAGTCTTTTTATGTGTGGAATAAAGGGCACAGGGTCTATCGGAAACAGCCTCTCTACCCCAAAAGGTAGATAGGTTTGCATTCATCCTACCCTCCTCATACCCCACTTGTGAATTACACTTGATTTGTTGTTACTAGAATATAAGACGAGTTTATGTATGTTAAAACTTCAAAGCTTTCACTAAAGAATTCAGTTTTTCTGGACTATTTTTAATTGGTCACTATGGACAGAATCAGACTTGTTGGACTGGAAATGAGAACTTCTAAGAAATTAAAAGAAATGAAAATCCGAATGGGATGGTTATTCGGTCATTGAATGAACTACGATTCAATCAGATATTAGTTGGTTGGGGTTTGTTATATGAATCTTTTTTGCATCTAACTTGTTCTATTCAACATTCAAGTGTGCATGCTTAAGTGAGCATGTTCAGAAGAATTATGTATAATGTGTTGATAATTGACATAAGATTGAAAAGAAAGAAGAAAAACAAAGGGCGTTTTTCCAAAGTTGCAGCACTCGGAGTTGTAGTGGGGTGGTATGTATCCTTTCATTATTAATTAGAGGTCTCCGGTTCAAGCAATTTCGTCAAGTAACTCATTCATTTCAATTTGTATCAATCAACTACACCTCAACACCAAGCTAGCTGGGATCAAGGTAATTCATACAAGGTGGAATACGTCGACTTCTTTTTAAACTTGTGAGTAAATTTCATTTAGACACTCGGATTATGATATGTTCCGATTGAGCACCCAAACTGCCGAACACATGATAAAGTGTTCATATTAGACACTTTCGGCATAGATTTGGAAAGAACCATTTCCTGTGTTCTCAAGTCTTATTACGTAGATAAGTTAACTAAATAAAATATGTCACCTCATTTTATACATATCAACCTCAATTGGAACAGACTTCAGGTTTTACAGCTTATCGAGGTCATGTTTATAACAGACCACTGAAATATGGCACTCCAGTTTGTGGCAACCAATTATCTCCAAGCAAGAAGCTAGAAACTGTGAAATTAGCAGCATCAGCAGCATCAATAACATGAAAACCAGGCCAAGTGACTCTGCCACTGGTGTTAGAACCTGGCCCTGTATTATTAAACTCTGCATAATAACTCGTATTGAGTGCAAAATCCCCTGACCATTCTCTCCATCCTAATGGATTCACAAATCCATCAATGAAACTTTGTGCGTAAATAGTCCTTGAGTACTCCTTCCAAGGCCTACCAAGGTACGTTTACGTGCTACTGTTGCTGAATTTTAAGTCATCTGCTGGTTTTACAGTGCAATTTTGAATTGAAATTCCAGTGTTTTGATTCGGATCTGTTCTGCCTTGTGCTGTGATTGCATTGAACTGATTTTGTAAAGGGAGTTTCGGGTATATGTTGGAATTCTGGAAAACTGCAGCAGCGTTTCCAAATATGAAATCGACTGTGCCATAAATGTCACATTCTCTGTAAAATTGTCTGAGGGAATGTACATATAATGTGTCTTGGTACCCTTGGAAGCTGCAGCTGTAGAATGTGGATAAATCTGCACCATTTCTAACTGCAACTGCTTGGTGATTGATTGCTCCTGCTGTGTTTTGGAATGTTAAGTTAACTGCAACAAATCCTTGACCAACCACAACTGTTGATAAAAGAAGAAACATGTTAAGAAATATGGATGTAAATTTTCTTTGGTTTCTCACCCACTACCCCTTTCAGGCCCTGATTAATCTAGATATGCGTTGCGTAAAGAGCAATGAAGGAAGAAATGCTTCCTACCAGGATTCCTTTTATTCCTATGTGACTCAAATGAAAAGGTAGGATTAAGGTTTGTATACACTGACCCTCCCTTGAGCCACTTGTGGGAATGTATTGGGCTTATTGTTTTGTTGTTTGTATCATTCAAATATGAGACCTGTGGTGAAGGATGAAGGGATCCTATGTATCCCATCACAATCCTTTGTGTGGACTTAAGTTACATGATAACATTAAAAAAAATAGTTTGTAGTATATACGAGTGAATTTTAACATAGCATAACAAGTTAATTACTCCCTCCGTCAATCTTTACTTGTCCACTATACTATTTTAGGATGTCTACAATACTTGTTCAGCTCATAAACAATGAATAGTTTACCATGTTGTGTCTATTTTGCCCTTGCTATTAAATTCTATTTATTTTTCAATGTTTAGATGACTTATATTTAATAAGTGTGATTTGGTAAAATTACCCCATCATTTATTGTTTCTTAATCCTTGTGTCAAGTCAATAGTGGACAACTATTGTTGGACAGTGAGAGTACTATTTTTATCATGTTACTTATTAGTGCTTAATCATCATAAAGATGTTACTTTAATTACCTAATGAGCGACCTGATTGTATTTATTATGCAGTTGGTGTATAAAATTTAAAATCTAAAAAATAGAATTTAAGTTATATACATTCATAATATAAAGAACTTTTACACCATCAATTCTTTTAGTTCAATTTAACATGATACAAAGATTATTGATTTGTTTTTAGGTTTTTATATTAGCTTTCCTATAAAGAGTTACCTACTATACTATTATACATCACCTTTAACCTGGAGGTTTACATATGAGCTTATGTTTTGCTTGATGGTGTAAATAATATTTACATTATCAAGTTACAACCAACACTACTTTAATGTAATTTCATAAGCGGAGTTTGAAAAAGGTAAAGTGTAGGAGTGTACGTAGACCTTATCATGCTCAATATGGTAACTTGAAAAATAGAGTAATAATGGAGGTACTTACCAAAAGTAGAAGAATTAAATGTAGTATATCCATCAACATTGTAGCTATGGTTGCCTGTAATAATAGTTTGGTTGATACCATCACCAATCATCATCAAATACTTCTTGTTTTTGGCAATTGAAACATATTCCTCATACACACCAGCAGTAATATATATGAGAAAATAGCCTGTGGAACCATCTGTATTATTTGGAGCAATAGCCACAGCATCATTTACGGTACTAAAATTCCCACTTCCATCTTGGCTTACAATTACAACATCACTCACCTTAACATGGTCATCATATTCCTATGTCAAAGTTTCAAAAAGTAAAAAAATTATTAGGAATATTTTTTTCCCATAGGAATAACGTAGACTTAAATTCACATTAAAATGTTGTGATGCAGGCAACCTACTCTAATGCATTTACCAGTGGCTATTTTTACAACTCGAATTCGTGACCTATAGGTTACACATGGATAACTTTATCATTGCTCCATTTGATGCAGTAACTATAATGCATTTAAAAATATTATGATTGGCTAGGAATTTTTTCCCCCGTAGCTTGGAACATAGACCTAAGATCACATAGAAGGAAGTTATCTTTGAAGACCTAAAATTTATTACAGTCAAGGCGAACTTAGCTTAAGATAGGGCACGATGAAGGAAAAAGATTCATTACAGTGATACCTCCTAATCGGGAAAAAGTTTTAGTCTTATTATAGGACTTCTAATATTATAATTAGTATTATTATATATATTTACATATACTTCCACATTTATATTTATTTGACATTTTGAGCTTAAATGAAACGAAGATTCATACAGCCGATCACAATTTGATATATATGTATAAAAATAAAAAATGTATGTGTTACTCACCAAAACTTGGTCAGCAGCTTGTTGCTGGAGCTTTCTCCTGCTAATTGTTTCAAATATAGCCCTATTTCTTTCAGACATTTTCAAAGGCAAGTGGCGATTTCTGAAAACTAACTTCTTTTGAGTAATTTTTGTTCCTTTTTTGTCCTTAGGAACCCACCCTTTGGTGAACAAGGCTAAAGAAATACTATGAAGTTTTGTGTCATTAATAAGAGGGGTTAAAATGTCAGTTCTCAAACTCCAAGGATCAAAAGAGGTACTATTAATTTCTTGGAGACCATCTAAACAAGTTTGTGTATTTGTCAAAATGGCACTTAACAAAGTTTGCAAATCTCCACCGAGTTTAGAAGGCTGTGATTGGTTCAAAGGATGGGTCACAGACGGATTTCTCGGTAATAAAAATAAAATAAAATGTTATCTTTGTTTAAATCAGCTAAAAAATAACACTTCGAGGGCGCGAATCGTGGGTATCGTTAGATTTTTCGTTCGTCTAAGGTATTTTTGAACAATCGAAATGAACTTATGAACGGTAGATAAAGATTTGTGAACTGAAAATCGACCATAGTCATAGATATTACTATAATTCGCAGTTGATAGCATTTATTTGCAGAAATTAGGAAAATGGGTATTTTTGCAAATGATGGAAGGAGAATTATCATCATTAGCAGAAGATTGAAAAAATATCATAAAATGAGACATGAAGAAAATCTTAGTATTATGATAATTGCTAGACATGATATATGGATCTCTAAATTAAATGGTGAATATTGTACATGAAAGTGTACTAGTGAGCTACTATATATATAACAAAGAATTTAGATTTAGAATAATTAATTAGTGTTAAATTGTTTATGGAGCAATGGAGAGTCATTCAATTAATTTGTTATTTAGTTTTGTTAAATAGTTGTTGAGGATTTCAATTCTTCCGTGTTTTAGCAATAATATTTTTTTCATGAAGCTAAGGTTCAAAATATCTAAGTAACAAGTGTTTCCACGACTCTATCATCCAGTCTGGTGTGATTGATTTTCACTTTATTCATACTGAATACGGATAATTTATAATGTACATCTAAATTTTGAATCTGTGACTAATAATTAGATCTTAAACATAATAGGGGGAAAAAATAGTTGACTCATATGACTTGAAGCTTCTTTTTCTTCCAAAATAAAGTTCATTAGGGGAAGGGCAGCACCGCTTTCTTAAATATGTTGATGTATAATTACTTTAAACATATATATATTAATTATGATATCAGAGTTGGTAAAAATCATGAAATTTTACAGTTATCCATTATAAAAAGAATTTGTACGTGCTTGTCATAAAAAAAAAATCAAGCACCGAGGACGTGTTGAGAATATATAAATATGTATTATTTCTAACAATTTAAATTTTTAGATAAGACGACGTTACACATATATATCGTTCATATGAATTACTAATAATTATAATATACTAATTAATAAAAAAAGAGTACTATAATTAAACTACACTATTCCTAGTTGGATTCTTGAAATACTAATAATGTGCATCACAAGACAAGAACATGAAATTTGCCTCCCTTGTTTTGAGCCTAAATGAATGCCTTCAAATTTGCCTTGAAATATTAATAACTCATGATTTTGTAATGTAGAGATAAAATAAAAGACATGTTATAACAAGTTAAAATAAATTGATGGTATAAAAATAATTGCACCGTCACAACATATAATTTAAGGAGATCTTTACATTTTCAATCACATGACTTGACTTATAACGTAACCAAAATTAATTTTGTTTTTCAGTCTTCACTCCTATTGGCCCATATTGTATCTAATTTGAAAGCTAGATCACTTCTCATATTTCTCTTCTTCAATTCATTCACAAAGATTGTTGCTTGACAAAGTCGATTTATTGTTATGTATGAAGTTTAAATTGTGATTATAATACTGATTTTGATATTATAAAGTTAACCCATCATTATTGAACAAGCTTAGAAAAAATGTTATAAAAAATATACTGATAGTATAATTTTTTTTAGACAATATCAAGTATCAACTATATATTTTCATGTTCTAAATAGTAAATATGAGTGTGTATAATACAACGGATGAGATAATTGGTTGAGGATTGGTAAATCATAAGTGAGTCAAAGATTTTTATTTTTTTTTGGTTTGATTTGATTGAGTATAATATCTAAGAAAGTAATTAAGAGTCAAGAGAGAGTTTAGATTTTATGATCAAAATCAATTGAATATGTGTGTGTAACATAATAAATTATTATTTAAATTTTATGATTTAACATATTATAAGTGATATTGAAATTAAGTATGTACTTTAATATATGAATTATCCAACAACTACTAATTCATACTAATAAATGTTTAACATGATCAAATAAGTACGTAGTTTAATTAATTAATTGATCTAAATTAAATGGAATATACATACTACACTGCAAATAAAGTCGTAAATCTCATTGAGTGCTTCTTTATATGCTTACATTTTTACATTAAATATTTTTACTAAAAAATCTGACTATGTCACTGATCAAATCGTACTAGTTTACAACTTTATGCCTAAAAATATACATATCCACGAGAGTGGTGCATGGACTACATTCAAAAATCGGAACGAATATGTTTGTTATCTATTGTACTAGACTTTTAAAAGCCCATTGATTAAAAGCTATATATATATATATGTTTATCGATTTCAGAATAATTTTAAATGTGAGGTGTTTGAAGTTAAAATCGAGTTATTTCTTCCTGAAATTCATGCAAAAATGACATTTCAATTATATGTGCATGAACTTCAGACAAAGATGACTTAATTTAGCCATATATGACTGGAGATTAAACCAAAATGATTGGATTTGATTGGATTTTAGTTATATATATGTGCTTGAAATTCAAACAAGAATAACTTAATTCAACCACTTATAACTAAAGTCGTTACAAAAATAGATAAACTTTAATTTACTTATAATTAAAGTCGCTACAAAAATAGATTAACTTTAATGTAGTCATACGTGCTTGAACTTCAGCCATACAAAATTTCAAATATTTTATTCAAAGATAGACTTATAATTTTTTTGCACGAATACAACTTAAATAATAGTACCAAAATCAAGTATTTGTGGACTTTTGCCCCTTAGACACATACTTTTTGCCAAAAGCTTAATATGGACCGGACCACCTACCTTTGACTATTCTTGTGAGTTTAAGTTTATAAATTCTAATCATGTATAAATAATGTAATTTTTTGTTTAAAAGGTTCATATGAATCTCTTAGCTTCAAGCGGGCTCCACCTAGCCCGGAGCCACCCCAAACCCCGTTCGACCCAGCCACACTCCATAGTAATTTTCTAAATTACATACAAATTAATGCTCCTTAGATAATATTTTCTTATTTACATTACTAATGAAATACCAAAAAAATTAATAAGAAGATTACTTATTTTTCGACATATATTTTCCTAGCCAATTGCCAAACACACCCTTTGGTCCTCCTTGTTCCAAGTGAAAAATAGACTTGAAAAATGAACATACAAAAGTATAGATATACGTCTAGATGAGTTATTTATATCTGAACTTTTCATGAATAGATCAGATCTTTATACTATTATTGTACCGAAAAGGGAAACAACACTTTGTAATGCAATCTCCGTGAACGAGGTTGGTCCTCTCTTAATCAAAGATCTCAGTTCAATTTTTTAGTATGAAAAATGTTTTTTGTAGGGGAAGCTACCCCTTCAATGGGTTCGGCCCGACTGAATTTAAAATGATCGAGCTCCAATATAAATATCAATATCCCCTGAATGGGGGTCTACCCAACATAAATTCAAAATAGTCAGAACTCCAATATAAATATCAAAGTTCAAATTTTAAAAAAAAAAACACATAGAATGCAGACAAATACATCCTTGATTTAAGGTTTTGCAGTGTCGGCAGTACATGCAGACATGTGATTTCATTTAGATTCCTACACATAATTCTATTGTTCTTGCCACCTAACCACCAATGAGTAACCATACCACCATTACTTCTTTTCGTTTATTGTTTACAATTTCCTGCGTGGTGTTAGATAAATATATTAAAACTCGATTAATTGATTTTTCATGTAATTTCATTTTTATGTATTATGTTACTTCATTTTTGAGTTCTTGAACCTTTCTTATCAATAGTATTGACATTATTTTTGTAGTTTTCTGGTCTTGAATTTTGATTTTCACTGGTGTTTTTTGTGTCTCGATTATTATATTATTACGTCGCTATTCTTTCTCACGTTTTTATCTAACCATTTCATATTAATTTGTTGTTATTGCTCCCATATGTATATCTCCTTTTTTCAAATTGTTTAACAAGCTTTATTAGAAATAATCTCTCTGTCTCTACGAGGTAGGAATAAAGTATGCATACAATCTATCCTCCCAGACTCCACTTATGAGATTACACTAAATATATATATAGTGTTGTCGTTCTTGTTGTTGAACTTCTAAAAATAGTCCAAATATAATATATATAATTGTAAAGAAATAAAAATTGAACCTAACTTAATCTTAAAAACTAGTCCGAGAGCGAGGATTAATTAGTGATTACTCTTCCCATAATTGACTAATGTGAGAATTCTTTAAAAAAAAAAAAAAACTCATGCACGCCAAGAGCTAAATATCTGAAGCGTGAATAATTTTAATATGGGAGTTCAACATCGAATATTAAATTTTGAACAAAATAACTCAAATAATTAATAAATATCTTGATTCCTGCATTCATAAAGTCAAATTAGTGCATCCATGCAACAATCTCTTCTAGTGAAACTTCTTAAATTCCTATAAAAGAAGCACAACTTTACTACTCATTTCCATCACAAAGTTCCCAAAATGTATATCCAAAAAAAGAAACCTTCACTTTTTCTTGCTCTTTCATCCATTTTCTTGCTCACATTCTTCTTTCCCCAAAAATCATTATTAGTATCAAGTACTCAACAAATTCATGTTCACGAAAACATCCAAATTGCAAATTCACATTGCCAAGACACACTTTATCCCCAACTTTGCATTTCCACTCTTTCATTAATCCCAAATCTTCACCAAAAATCAATTCCAGAAATCATTTCTTCCAATGTTAATGTCACTATGAATGAAGTCAGATCCTCTGCTGAAAATTGCTCTAACATACTTCACCATGTGTCCAAATTGGACCCTATTGAAAAAAGGGCATTAGATGATTGTATTGAACTTTTAGGTGATACTACTATTGATGAGTTACAAACAACTCTTTATGATCTTTCTACTAAAAATAGTAGTAATTCACCTTTAAAGCACTATAATGATCTACAAACACTTCTTAGTGGTGCAATGACAAATCAAGATACTTGTCTTAATGGAATTTACAATAGTAAACACAATTTGAGTCAATACATTGAGAAGAACTTGCATACCATATCTCAACATGTGAGCAACTCTCTTGCCATGCTTAAGAAGTTAAAGACAGGGTCGACTCAAGGGTTAGGTCACTAAAGCATCTATTTTAGACTCCCAAAATAGTGAACGATCCAAAAATAATACTATATTCCTTTTGTTTCATTTTACATGACATATTTATCTATGACATATTCTTGA